GCTCCGTGTGTCCGGCTTTTTGATGCTCAGTGCACCCCACTCACCCCATGGAAGCCCCATTAAGACAGTTCCTGTGCCCTCTAAAGTGCCGTATGCTTTCACTTTCTGGCACAGCATGGTTCACCTGGACTTCCCCAGGCCCAGGCTTGGAATCAGCCACTTCTCCAAACAGCACTGGTTTCTTGTAGCGGTAAATGGTCCTCAGAAATTAAACCCCAGGGGCCAGCGCTGTGGTATGGTGGGTAAAGCCACTGCCCTCGACACCAGCATCCCATATGACTGCCAGTTCAAGTCCCGGCTGTTCCACTTCCAATCCAGCTCCCTGCTAATGGCCTGGGAAAGCAGTGGAGGACGGCCCAGGTGCTTGGGCCCCTGAACCCAAGTGGGAGACCCGGCTGAAGCTCCTGGCTTGTTGCAGCCATCTGGAGAGTGAACCAGTAGATGGAAGATCTCTTTCTCTCACCGTCTATCTATCTATGTAACTCTGACTTTCAAATAAATGCATCTTTAAAAAAAGAGAAATTAAACTCCAGGTGCTAGATGCGTTGAATGCTACCTGGGGCAGCACTGCCTCCAGACCCTTTCGCTGGGCAGACCTAGGAGCACACAAACACCACGGGTCCCCCTCCCCAGCCCCACCTCATCCTTGTTTCTCTCTTGTTCCCTGGGGAGGCCTTGCTTTACAGCAGTAGCAACACGGTTACTCCTCTGCTCTAACCCCCAGCAAACACAACAGAGTTTCCGATTTCTGATGCCAAGACTACCACCAAAAACAGGCCTGCAGGCTTCAAGGTTTCTGGGCAGCTCTTTTTGTCCACAGACAGCACCAAGCTTTAAAAATTCCTTGAATCCCCGCTTCCCCTTGTCGTGAAGTTGATGTTAGTCACTGTTTCTGTTGTGGCTGACATTAGGGTCGCTTTCTCCTTCTTTTGGATCAAAACTGTCTGAGAAGGCGAAACGAGAAAAGCCTCTCCCGTGCCTCTCTTCCACCCTGGACCCATCCGCTCCCTATCAGCAACCACTTTAATCAGCTACGGCTTATCCTTTCTGTGTATGTGTTTGCAAAACAGACTTATTCCTCCTACTTTCTCACCCCAAAGGTGCCATACTCTCCATACTTTCCTGTATCTTCCTTTTTTTTTTTCTTTTTTCTTTAGCAATGCACTCTATACATCGCAGCGTGAGTTCCTAGGACCCCTACTCACTCCTTCTCTCTTATTGGCTGTGTAATACTCCATTCTGTGCACGTACCACTGCTCATTCAACCGGTCCCTTAAGGATGGGAATCTGAGTAGTTTCCTATTACAAATACGCCTGCAAGAGTCACCAGGTGCATCCGTGGCTCCGGGCTCGGGAACGCGCACCTTCCGGGTGAGTTCCTCGGCACAGGCTGCTGGTAAACGTGGGTGTAGTTTTGCTGACTTCCCCTCCACAGAGGGCACACTAGTGTGTACCCCGGCACTGATTTTGCAGCCAAGGCAGACCTCACTGTGAAGTGTCCTGAGCTGTTTTCCTTGAACCCGGCCTCGACGAAACACCACCCCAAGCTCCCTCTCTGTGTCCCAGCTGACGTGGCAGGGCATTAAGTGCCCCCTCCTGAAACTTCCAGGGATTTGTGCGTGAAACGTAGGGACGCAGAGCCAAGGGAAAGATGAGGCTGACCTCAGCCAGAGAGGAACCAGGCGGGAGAGCGCGGGACCCCACCCCTGATGCCTCCGGCTCCTGACCTTTCCACCAGCGCCCCTGCCCTGCCCCCCACCAGCTTCCAGCTTCCCTGACCGGGAGCCCTGGCTCTGCTTCTAACCAGATCCTGCCTGGTTTCTCGTGGGCCGAGGTGGAGGCAGAGCAGAAAGTGCCCGTCATTTCTGTTTTAACATGCACAGAGGAAATCAGTCAGTGGAACAAGAATGGTTCACACGAGGGAAAAAGGAAAGAGGAGACAAAGAGAGACGCTGGGAGAGGAAGCGGAGCACAAAACCTTCCACACCGGCCTCTGGATTCCAGCCCCAGGTCTGCTCGGCTCCTGCGACCCACAGAACATGGGAAATGAGTGGAGAAAGCTCCATCACATCACGACTGGGTCCAGGGGCCTGCCTCTCATCCCTCCTTCCAAAGGCAGAATCCATGCCTGGGAGCCTGGAATAGGGGTCAGATGGTCTGAGAAGGCCCCCAGGGAAGGCCAGTGGGGCCCAGGCTGGACCACTCCCCTGCAAGCTCAAGCCCATCAGGCTTCTTAGAGTCCTGGGGACCAGGAATGCACACCTTCCTTTCCTCCCACCAAAGCCTGGTGGCTCTGGAATGTTCTACCTTACATGGGCATGGCCCAGACGTGGGGCTGGGCTGTGTGTGGGTGCTGGGTCTCCAGGCCAGGAGCTTTGAAAGAAAAGGACCCATGGGGTGTGGGGGTGGGGGCGGTGTTCCTGAGAGAAGAGAACTTGAACGAGAGGCACTTCCCTGTGGAAGGCTTCGCTTGCTGACAGGTAGCAGCTGGGGCAGTGCTGGGCCGAGCAGCCCCGGTCCCCTTCCTCCCTGGACCCAGGTCAGTGAGGGCAGGAAGGGCAAAGCTCTCAACAACCTTGCCCACTGAGCCCCTCCCCACCTTACTTCCCCCAGCATTCAACACCCTGGGCAATGCTAACTGCTCTGCTCAGGCCCAGCCCCGGCCCTCCCGTTTGGATTTGAATCCACAGCAGTCTGGCAAATCTGACCCGGGCAGCCCCCGCCCACCACGGGCTGTGCAGAGGGAGCAACCTGCCAGGCTGAGGTTCACTGCCAGACGCGCCCAAGCCGCCCCTTCCTTCTCCCAGTAAAGGGCCTCCCAGGTCTCAGGCACTGTGCTGGGCGCTAGGAACGTGACTTGACCTTGAATCCAAGAACCGGGAGGTGGGAAGGGCAAGGGGGCTAGGGCTCGGCGCGGTAGGGGGCAGGAAGTCGCGCGCTCGGAGCTCTCGGGCAGAGGCCGGGCCCGGGAGGGTGGAGCCGAGCTGCGGGAGAGGCAGACAACCGGGCGCGGCCACAGAGGCAGCCGAGAGCGCAGGGGGCCGCCGCTCTGCTGCAGTCCCGGTCCCGCCCGGAGCCGCGAGCCCCGAGCCCGAGCCCTGAGCCCCGGAGGGGAAGGGCCCGGCTGCGGGGACACGTTCCCCCCACCCCGCCCAGACTCTGGGCCATCGGAGCGGGCGCCCGGTGCACGCTCACCAGGAACCTGCTTCTCAGCCAGCAGCCCTGCCAGACTGCCGTAATCGTCCCCTGTCAGAGCTCCGAAAACGGACAGGCCGGCCGCAGGGGCGGTGGGACCAGGGGCCGGCTGGACGAGAAGCAGGGAGCTGGGGTGGGGGCCGGCGTGGTTTGGGGCTTGCACCTCAGCAAGATGGTGGCAGGCACGACTGCTCGCCCAAGGAGGGGCGTAGACATGGATTCTCCTCCCCTCCCTGCTGAACAAGGGCACGGATTCTGTCCTGGGGCCCCTGTCCATGGCCAAGCCCACAGGTAGGGACCTGCGTCAGCCTTGGGGTGCAGATCCATCACCTGGGGCCCCAAATGGACACTGGTTCCTGTTGCTACCCGGCACCCCTAGGCTCTCCCGGCCAAGTCTTGCTTCCTCCTTCCCCAGCCAAACTCTCCACCAGGGCTGGAGGCAGAAGCGCGGGCTCCCCCGCCTGACTCTCACAGCCTCGTCTCTCTCCCTGGGCACAGGGAGGTTGCCAGGCTCACCAACAGCCCGGGCCCTGGCCGTGCTCACCCCGAGGCCCCTCGCCATCACCTGGCCCCGACAGGGATGACCCCGGTTCCTCCCCTCTTTCCAAGTAAAGAGAGCCCGAGCAGAGGGGGGCGCAGCGAGGCCTCCCAAAGCGGGGGTGGGGGGTAGCTCTGGGGAGGGGCCGAGTCTCCCACACCAGGCGCCCCACCCAGAGGAGGAGGAGGTGGCGCTGCAGAACGGGATGTGGTGTTGGCTCTCCCCCTCCACCGCCCTCAGCAGGGTGCCCGCCGATTTCTCCTCCGACGGTTTCCCCCCCCCAGACCAGCGCCTGCAGCGTTCGGCGAGTCCCTTCCAGGATGCGGCGGCCACCGCCGGGCCCTCCACTCACGCACGCACGCACACCGCCGCAGCAGGCGAGGGGCACCCCCGTGGGCAGCGGACCGCGGGCCCCCTGCAGCAGGCGCGCGCCAGGCGTGTGCGTGAGCGTGTGAGGGTCGCGAGGGGACAGCGCGGAACAGCCCCGGCCTGCATCGCAGCCTGGAAACCGCGAACTTTTCGGCCTCGCCCCTTGCCCGCCCTCCCCGGTGGGCCCCGAGAGGCGCGGCGCCCTCCTCGCACTCCTACAGTTGGTTCTGGACGCACACTCAGACAACAGCCGAGCGAGGGAACTCCCAGCTTTTTCCACAGCTAATTATAGACGTGAGCGTCTGAAGATGTTTTTGCAAGCGGCAGAGAGAAACTGCTGAGGCTTCTCCGCAAAGCAAAGCCGTCTGGCGCGCACTCCGCCCTCCCCACCCCCCGGAGCCCCTCTCCCAGGTCCCCACGCAGCCCCTCCTTCCTGCTTCTTTTCTTCTTCTTCTTCTTCTTCTTTTTTTTTTTTTTCCAATCTCTCTTTGGGGCTTTCGAGAAAGGGAACAGACGCGGAAAATATTTTTGCAACAGTTTTCCATTCTGCGTCTCGTTCCCAAGCCAAGGGGGAGGGGAGAGGCAGGCGCGGAGCGGGGGGCGGGGTGGGTAACTGCGCTCTCCGAGAGCTCCACCCGGGCGTGGAGAAGGCCCCTCCGCACCCCCTGCCCGCGCGGTCCCGCGACGCCGAGAGCCGGGGAAGGGAAGCCCTCGTTCGGCTGCGCGGCTCCTCCGGACCGACAGCGAGGAGGCAGCGCCCCGCACACCTGCGCGCGCACGCCCGCCGCCGAAAACGCTGCAGGCGACGCGGCGCGAAACGGGCTCGGGAGCCCGAGGGCCGGCGAGGCGAAGCGGGAAAGAAAGTTTGCTCGGAGTCCCGCATCCCCGGCGAGCCTACCTCGCTCCAGCCGCGATCCGGGTTCGTGCACGCGGGACGCTGTCTCCGCGCGCCTCTGCAAGGGGCCGCCGGGCGCCCCCCGCGCTGCTCCCGGAGCCGAGCCGCCGGCCGCGGCCGCGCCTCTCCAAGCGCAGCCGGGGACCGGGCTGGGTCTCCTCCCCGCGCCCCTGGAGGAACGCGGCGCAGGGGAGCCGGGCGGCTGCTCGGGCGTCGCCGCGGCGGGGGGATGCGGCCCCCGGGGGAGTTCGTGGCCGCCTCGCGACCCCCGGCTCCGGACGGCGTCAGCAGCGGAGCTCCGAGCCGAAAACGCTTGTGCCGCGCGCGAGGAGAGGGGCGGAGCGCGGCGGGGCGGGGCGGGGGCGGGGCTTGGCGCGCGGCCACACCGCGACTCCGCCGTTAAGGTGGCCCCGTAAGGGCGGCCGCCGCTTCCTGGGTCGTCTTAAGGGGGAATACGCGCCGAGTCCTCTTCCGCGCGCTCCGAATCGCCCACCCCAGGCTCGCGCCGGTCGGGCCGGGGGCGGGTGCGGAGGTAGGGCGTGGGCGCGGGTGGCGGCGTTCAACCGTTGTTGGGCGGAGGGGAGAAAAGGAAGTCTTAGGCCGGCGCCGCGGCTCACTAGGCTAATCCTCCGCCTTGCGGCGCCGGCACACCGGGTTCTAGTCCCGGTCGGGGCGCCGGATTCTGAGCCCGGTTGCACACTTTCAAGTGCTTGGGCCCTGCACCCCATGCAGAAGCACCTGGCTCCTGCCTGCGGATCAGCACGGTACGCTGGCCGCGGCGGCCATTGGAGGGTGAAGGAAGACCTTTCTCTCTGTCTCTCTCTCTCCCTGTCCACTCTGCCTGTTTAAAAAAAAAAAAAAAAAAAGGAAGTCTTTGCGGCTGCGGGGCCTCTCAGCCTCCTGCTGGGACCCGGGCGCCCTGCGGGGTGTGTGTGGACTGGCACCGGGCGGCTCCTTGGAGCGGGAGAGGAGAAGGCTTTGCTTTGGTCGTGCACACACGCACATTTCATGCACAGAACAGAGCCCTAGCCGTGTGAGCTACAGAATCTGTTAAAAGTTGTTTTATTCACTACCCAAATGCCCACAGCAGCCAGGACTGAACCAGGCCAAAGCCAGGAGTGGCAGGGACCCATGCACCTGGGAAGGTGCACTAGCGGGGAGGGGAGTATCCAGGGCTCCACCCAGGCACTCCCTGTAGGATTCGGGAGGCAGCCGCAGCTGTTGCAGCCAGTGCCGGCCCCTGCAGTCATTTCTGGTCTTCGTGGCAACCTTCAAAGGTGCTCCTCGCCATCCTCGCTTTATGGCTGAGGAAATTGAAGATTGAGTGGCTCTCCCAAGGTTACGCATCTGCTTAATGACAGAGCTGGGAGTCAGGGCCACGTCAGACTGACTCCAAAACCCATTACTCTCTCCCCTACTCTGCACTCATTTCGGTCTTCATTTGTACACACTCGGACCTCCGTGCCCAGTTGTCCACAGCCTGTGAACTACTCCTCACACCCCCGCAGCCACACCCCCACCTGCGTTGTGCAACAGTGCCACCCCTAGATTTTGCATAGAACCTTACAGCTGTCAAGTACAAACACGCACCACCAGCTGCTTCACTGGCTGATGGATTCCCACACCCACCTCAGCAAACACACTCCTGTTCATGTACTGAGGGAAGGCAGGCCGGTGTTCACCCCCAGGTTGCCCCGTCGGCTCTGCTGGGCAGCTTCCCAACTAACAGGGTTTTGTCAAAAAGGCCCGTTTGGTGTGACCACCCCAGCCGACACCCACAGTGCACCTGCCCCAGATGCCGAGTTGTGTGTGCGTGGACAGTCAGCAATAAGAGCCCGGGATTCGGCTTCCCTCTATTCATCAGCGCCCCCCCCCCTCAAATTTCCTAACATTTGGGCCCTTTCTATTTTTTTATTTTCCTCTCCTACTGTTGCTCCGCAATTCATCCACACCCTATTTGTGAGCTCAGGAAAGTCAAACAGATGAAAGTAAAGCAACTATCTTAGAACAGTGGGCCGGGCTCAGGACTCACGGCTCCTTGGGGTGGCGCTTGCCGGGTTCCCCCGCCTCCATCTGCCCTAGGAACCCAGTCCAAAGCAAGGCCCTGCCTGTGCTGGTGTCCCTCTTGTCCCCACCAGCCCAACCCAGCCCAGCTAAGGGAGGTTGCAGGGCTGGGAGAGGCTTTGGGGTCACCTCTATGGAACCCACCTAGCAGCTGTTTCCCCAGCAGCTCCTTCTTCTTGGGGATTGAGGGCGCCCATGGATACCAAAGGTGCCTTTTGTTCTCCGTTGTTCCTCCCAGCCCCCCACTCCCAGCTCCCCCTGTCTCCCTCAGCTCCCTAGGGCACCTCACTGGAAGAAGAGACGGTGCCTAGTAAGATTTGTGCAGGTCCTTCCAAGACGCCCGTTTTGGGAGCCCAAGTCCGTTGTTGGGGAAGGGCAGAGCAGAGCTTCAGATCTGATGGCTGTGAGGCTCCCTGCTGGATAGCAACAACTTGACATTTTAGTGCCCAATGAGTGTCAGTTGTATCTTTATCATGAGAAAGCCTGTCTCTGAAATGGCTCTTTAAATGTATTAAAGTATATTTTAAGCTTTTCTGCCGAGGCTGTGCGTGGAGGCATCGCCTAACCGTTCAGTAAACTTGTCTTGCGGGAATAACAATTTAGGCCAGATGTGTGGTCCCAGTCAAGGAGATGTCTGCTCCTGCTGCCTGGCCGCTGGGCAGCTGGGAAACCGCGCCGTTCAGTGGCTGGTTGTTATTGGAGAGACAAGATCTGTTCTTCAAACTCCCTGGATGGGGGGGGGGGGGGAACGGGCTGTGCAGGGGAGGGCTGGTGGAGGAGGCCCAGAGGCTGTCCCACTGATCCATGGGCTGGCCCAGGGTCATGACCTCTGTGGTGGTCACAGGGCACCCCCTTCTCTGAGAGACGAGAACCCCTCTGCTCATCCCGTCCCACCCCGCTCCACCTGCAGACAGGAGAGAGGGATGCGACAGGCGGTGGCCGAGGTGTCTCCAGGGAGGGCCGCACCCTGATCTGTGTCGCTGAGCCCCCCACAGCCCCATTTGTCTGGAAGCCCAGAACCGTGGCTGGCTGATTTCTTCCAGCAGCAGGTTTAAGGTCTACAAGGGGTAAAACTAAATCTGGCCTTAAAAATAAGCACTAGATGTGGGAATGTTTTGCCTCATGGGACCAGAGAGAGGGCACTGCCCCTGGTGTCAGGAGTTCATGGTTGGACTGTTCTCCTCTCTCACTTGAAGAAAATGCAGTCAGCGGGCTCCGGCATCGTGGAGAGCGGGTTCAGCCTTGAGCGCCGGCATCCTGTCCGGGGAGGCTGGTTGGGGTCTCCGCTGCTCTGCCTCTGCCCCAGCTCTTTGCTAAAGCAGCAGATCATGGTCTGAGTGCTTGCATCCCCGCCACCCACATGGGAGACCCGGATGGAGCTCCTGCCTCCTGGCTTCAGCCTGGCCCAGCCCTGGCCGTTGCAGCCATTTGGGGAATGAACCAGCAGATGGAAGATCTCTTTGTTACTCTCTCTCTCACTCTACCTTTCAAATAAATAAATAGATCTTTTATTAAAAATGCAATCAGCACTGTTGCTTCCTTACGTCCTTCATAGAACACATTCCCCACCCAAGTCCCCCAAATCTCCCTTGCAGTCTCGCCACGCCTCCCTTGTTGCAAACTGCAGGGCTCCCCATCCTGTGGCTGTGGAGAGAGCAGCAGCCATCCTCCCTAGGCCCAAAGCCCGCTCTTGAAAGTTCTCTGTCTTCTCGCCATGCAGAAGGAGACTGTCATTTGACTTGAGGGCCCGCCCCGACCTGTCCCAGGCTGAGCCATTGCATCCTTTCTTGGGATTTTTGAACTTTAGACCAAGAGAGAGCAAACCTTGATTCCAGCAGTGAACAGCAGGAAGAGTGGGAATCTGAAAGGGTCCGAGGCCAAGTTCCCAGCCACATGGAGGGAGCTGGCCAATGGCAAGGAGTAGTGTCAGCCAGAGAGGCAGGGAGAGAGCCCAGAGCAGTGGGCCACTTGCACCGCTGTAGGACTGCACCCTTGCCTTTCCTGCGATGAGCTAGGTGACTTGTTACGCATGCACGTGCTAGAGGAAGCTGGGTTTTCTGGTCATTTGTACTAAGTAATATAGAAGCCTTTGAGCGGATGGCTGCCACTTAGACGCACTCATCTCCCTGCACCATATTCATTCAAGAAGTATTGTTGAGCACCTGCTATTTAATTCCGAACACACTTATTGAATGGCTACTGTTTCAGCATCGCTGAGTGCAGAGGAGGAGTGGGGAGATGATGCATCTGCAGTTTGGTGTTTGCATCTGTGGGGGTGGGGGGTGTTCACACATAGGTAGCCACAGTAGAAGGCACCCTTGCTTACTGTGGGCGAGGTAGTATCTGTTAAAAGAGGAGATATGGGGCCGGCGCCGCGGCTCACTAGGCTAATCCTCCGCCTTGTGGCGCCGGCACACCGGGTTCTAGTCCCGGTTGGGGCGCCGGATTCTGTCCCGGTTGCCCCTCTTCCAGGCCAGCTCTCTGCTGTGGCCAGGGAGTGCAGTGGAGGATGGCCCAAGTGCTTGGGCCCTGCACCCCATGGGAGACCAGGAAAAGTACCTGGATCCTGGCTCCTGCCAATGATCAGTGCGGTGCGCCGGCCGCAGCACGCTGGCCGCGGCGGCCATTGGAGGGTGAAGCAACGGCAAAGGAAGACCTTTCTCTCTGTCTCTCTCTCTCTCACTGTCCACTCTGCCTGTCAAAAAAATAAAAATAAAAAAAAAAAGAGGAGATATGCAAACTCTTCTGCAGAAATTCTAGGGGTGATGACTTCTGACAGTAAGGAGACAGTTTTTGGAAGTACCTGAAAAATCTTGAAGAGGGAGCTTTACCCTGGTTTGGAGTGGAGTGGGAGGAGGGGGCGGGGAGGTGGGGAGTGATGTGAGCAAAGGTCCAGGGAGAGAAAGAGCAGAGGGGGAGCCTGGGAGGTGGGGTCTGGCCTGGGGCAGCCTCATCAGGCCCGGATTTGGTGCACTGGTTAGCAGCGTGGGGGGTGGATGGGAGACCTGGCAGGAGATACTTTTATAGGACCCAGTGATGCATGTCACATAAAAATTGCAGGAGCCCATTGTTTTGGACTGAGCTTCTGCCCAGGACTCCCACAGACCAGACTGAAAATCAAAATGGAGTCACCCATGCTAAAATTCCACATCACCAAACTGAAACCAAGTGGTCATCGGACCTTCCGAGGAATTGGGAGAGGAAAATAATCATCAATATGCCCCAATCAGGCTCGGCTCCGCTAGTGGGGTTGTGGAAGT